TTGATGGGCTGTCGGCCGGCACAACCCAGAACAAGTTCTTGTTCGTGGGACCGGCCCCGCGGTGATATGGAATGCGGGACACCGGATCCACAGACCGGCCGATTTCCATTGTCCATCGTCTGCAGAACCGGCTGCAACCGAAGTGTTTTGCACCGTCAGCATGTGTGTGTGTGTCTGTGAGCCCTGATTCTACGCTAAGGGCCTTGGGAAAAAACTATTATAACGACAACAACAACAACTACTACTACTACTACCACCACTACTACTGCGACTGCGACTACGACTACTACTACTGCTGCTACTGCTACTGCTACTGCTACTGCTGCTGCTACTACTACTACTACTACTACTACTACTACTACACTACTACTACTACTACTACTACTACTACTACTACTACTACTACTACTACTACTACTACTACTACTACTACTACTACTACTACTACTACTACTACTACTACTACTACTACTACTACTACTACTACTACTACTACTACTACTACTACTACTACTACTACTACTACTACTACTACTACTACTACTACTACTACTACTACTACTACTACTACTACTACTACTACTACTACTACTACTACTACTACTACTACTACTACTACTACTACTACTACTACTACTACTACTACTACTACTACTACTACTACTACTACTACTACTACTACTACTACTACTACTACTACTACTACTATACTACTACTACTACTACTACTACTACTACTACTACTACTACTACTACTACTACTACTACTACTACTACTACTTTACAGCTGCAGGGAACCACTGAGGCCTCCGGGGAGCTGTGAACGAAGAATTTTTCGGGGAGCCTGTGCAAACGTACCTGCACTCCCAATCCTTATTGGATGAGGACGGGGCAATCTATGGCAATCTTCGCTCTCATTGCGCCTGGGGCCGTCGTGCCAGCTGGCGGATGAGGAGTGAAGATGACGACGAGGACGAGGAGGACGACGACGATAAACACTAAGGTGAGGCAAAGTCCAGGAATAGCAGCAGAAGCCCACCCGTGTCGGACTTCGTTGCCAATCGGCAACTAACCCTCCTTGGGCACTGCCATTTTCCGAATTCTGAGCGAGGAATACGCAAGTACTTTAGACGAGCTAGTCTCGAAAGCTCGAAAGAGAAGAGCGAAGCACCAGAGCGAGGCCACACCCTCTCTCCCTCATGTCAGGTACCGCCCACATGTATACATGAGTACAAACCTTAAAGCTGAGTCGAACGGATGTTTAGGTTTGAGTTTATCTCTCAGATCGGCAAACAGCTTCTGTGGCCGAAAGTCGGAGCGAGCTTGGAAAGTTTTTGCGCCCTGCCGGCAACACTAAGATCTAGCGGCAGAAAGCTGCGGAATTCAGTGCATGCAACAGGCCCCCTGTATGCGCACGACACGACCACTCGGAATGTAAGTGGTGGAGTCTGGCCTCTTTCGAAAAAAACCAGCAAAGAACATCTCCCAACAAGAAGAACAGGTACCTGCTTATGAATTATTAATGCCTTTCCCGGATCTCCCCGTGTTTGGGATTTACTTGTCGTGTTGTGTGGCAAGCATATGTGCCACATTCAGCGGGCACCCATGCGATGAGTGATCAACGGCGACAGTAGAATACAGTCGATTTAGCCTCTCACGCATCCCCTTGCCAGCGTGCTGTCCCCTCCTATTATTTTGCCAGCGACCCGCGGAATAAACAACGGTGTCTTCGAAAACGTCAGGCAAAACTCGAGCTCCAACAGCACACATGTCTTTGGAAAGCACAGTTCCAGTTCACGACTCATTTTGTGACAACATCAGTCGATGGGGCCTCTCTTCAGAACCTTGCAACGCACTTTGTTTTGGACGGGCCTGCCTAGGTACTGGTCCCCCGATTGCACGATTCACAACGGCAAGTTAGGCAGCTGTGGTACTACTCTGCTTGTCCCCCGCCTGAGCGCGGCTTCAGTTCGTCTTCCGGGAGGCTCTCACATCCCACGTTCGCGTAGGTGGACAGCGAGAATGCGACGGCGTCTGTGGCTTTCATCGGAACCTTTATCTGCGCCTTCCCTTGAAGAGGGGCTGCTAGCTCGTCTCGGGTTCCGAAAGCGGGGGCTTGTCAGCGGCGTCATGGTATATCCTTGCCCAGGATAGTGGGCATGGTTCCCCAGATCATGGTGGCGTTCAGCATCCCACCATATCGAGCTGGCATCAGGCTGACACAAGCTTTCCGATGGGATCCGTCTGGATATCTCCCGACGAGTTGCATTGTGGCTTCCTGTGCGCTGGTAGCCTGGCTTGCGGCCAGCGTAGGTGCTGAAGCTGGAGTATAGAGCAAGTTCCCACTCCTCTGGGTTTAAAGGCCGCACCACCACTGCATGATGGCTACCATATCGCCAGGATGTACTAGAAGTTCCACGACTTCGTAGCGGACCTAGCACTTTCCATGCGCCTCTGCCACTAGCGCCGCATTGTTCCCCGAAGGGGATGGCTCTGCGCAGAAGTTCTTGCTTGAGCCTGCAGAATTTGGTATGACATGGGGCCGTCATAGTTGTCGTTCCGCGGTGGTTCCCCTGCGGGGATTGTGGGAAGACTTGGGGCAGTGTCTCTCGGTTGATCCCACTTCTGTTGGCCCTGGTTGACGCAGCACATAGTATTGCTAGCACCTGTTTCTTTGCCTCCTGCCTGGCTAGGACGAACCTGCGATGCAGGGTCTGTAGTGCAGGGGGCTGCCGTGGTGGGGATTGATTCCCTGTATTTCTGTGCCTTTTTGGGCTCGGTGCCACCAGGGGTTACCCCCTCGGTCTTCCGCCCACAGCAGCAAGTGTTGAAGATGGGCCGCTCCCCACGCCAAATTTACTTGCAAATTCTGTAGATACTCCACCGCATCATATTGATATGTATTGATGATTTCCTGCACGGCCACGGCTGCCATGCTTTGGAGTCCTTTGGAGATGTGCGCAAAGACCGAGGATGCTGGCTATCTCTGGGTTGGAGGCTGCCGGCCCCGCAAAAGTTTTAATAGTGGGAGTCAAGGAGACTTGATCAGGTGTATGTCGGGGGCAGTCCGGGGTCTGGTCGCCGTCACTGCGGGGGTTGATGTATGTGGGTGTCTGGCACTCCGCTGCTCTTGTCTGAATTCGTGAACAGTCATTATGGGTCAAGTGCAAGCTAATCCCTCAGGAAGTTCGATCACACGTCGACAATCGAACCGGTATACAAGGGACCATGTGATGCATGATCGCAAAGGTGGACAACATCGCAGGTCTATATCTGCACTATGAACGCAACCGCCATCCAAACTCTCGTACGGCTGCTCGACAGGCAACCGCTATGAAATTTGGCAACAACTGAGTCTCCAACTAATTTTCTCCAAATAACCACCTCTCTGGGTTGGCTGGCCACTCCTAGAAATACAAGACTTGGCCTTGGGACACTTCTTTCAAGTCGGAAGCTGAAATAGCTCTGAACTACTTTTCGATAGCGAAGCTTCTCAAAGCCGGGAAAAGAAAAGGCGGGCAATTGACCTTCTGAACCTCGTCCGTTCAGGGAACGATCGGCTGATCAAACTCGTTAGCTTGCCTTGTTGTCACACGGCCCGGTTTTACATTGTCTCAGCGGCACGTGCATGGCTGCGTGACACGCCACTGTCGGATATGGACCCAGTGCCGTAAGTGGGCCGCCTTCGGACGCTGACCTTTACAGCTACATAGCTGTATATATAGACTATAATTACTCGCGCATTGCCCAACAAATTCAACAAAGCCAGTTGCTCGTGCATAGTTCCAGATGCTGTTGTACGACATTGGGCATTCGAGCTTTCCAATGTCTTTCTTGTGGCTTCTCAATATGCAAGACCAAGCTGTCTACTTCTTGTGGGTTGGTCTGCAGCCAACAACTTACCTAGTCAGCCGTTTGCGGTCCTCAGGCCTAGCGCCGTGCCCCGTAAGATCACGACCAGACAAGCATGCTTGACAGTGGCAGAAGCTCTGGCATCGTGGGCTCTGCCACAAATATAAACATATTAACCAAGAGCAACCCTCAGCAAATCCTGATGAATCCACCTGAACCGAACTGGAGATGTTGCGCGAACAAGTGGTTCCAGCCACGGAGCTATTGGGCCCCTTCTGCCAGCATCGATATCGCCTAAGCTCGCAAGCGCATGTCGAGATCCCCTGCGGCGGTCTGTGCTACACGATGGGTGAACCGAGTGTGCAGCTACTCCGTGGCGGCAGAGCTACAAACTGACATCCAAACTGTACCGGATTGGGGTACTACTCTGCTTTGCTGGCATGCAGCTGGGAGGTACCATAGTGCTGCACATCCTCCTCTGCGAGAGGAAAAGGTCCGTCGACGTCAGTCATCCGCTCCAAGGATTTGCGGTATTCCTGCGGCTGTCGGGTGCTTTCTTCATCATGGCATTTCACATTGCTGGGGTGTTCGGCTTCACAGGCTAACAGCTACCCTGTTCTGATTTTTTCCCTCCTACCAGCAAGGACGAGGCCCTGATTGATCCGGTCGGTCTGCCTCCCTCGCCTCAAGCAAACCTTGCAGCCAACGGATGCTCGGCCAAGCAATCATACCTTCCTGCGGGGATGATAAGCCTGATTTGACTTTGCCGGACATATCTGGACGTCGCATTGAATAAGGCTCTCATTTTCCAAACGGCAGGGCACGGGCAGGGGCAGGGGCGGGGAAGGGGAGGGGCAGGGCAAGGGAGGGGGGCAGGGGGCCGATCCTTGAGCCAGTGTTTCACAACCTGATCGCTCTTGTCGGCGTCAGAGCTTTCATCTGAAGTCGCCATTCTAATGTAGGCAGCCAGGAAAATTGTCCCTTGAGCCCAGCTGCGACGCGCACTTGCAGGAAACATGGCTGACCTCCGCGCGTTCACGGACATGTTGCGCTTGCTGCGACGCTTGATCAGTCGAAAGATAAGGAAGCACGAAGACTGTCACATTGCACAGGATGGAAAGTCGTGTGAACCTGCTCAGTGCTGGAGCCTCGATGATGTGCTTCACGTCATTCCAAACACTCAATGTTCCTCTGCCCAAGGTTGGCTGAGGCAAGTTTAGTACTTCTGCTCCATTTCCCTGATTCCGTTTGCCAGGATCTGCCCCTACTGAGCTATTTCTTTGCTGCTCCGTGGCAAGCTTGCACCGGTGCTTTCTGGCGAGGCTTCTGCAGGTGCTATCTGATGCCGCTAAGTGGACTAAGTGGAGATGCGCACGCCCTTTGCACAGGTGAGGTGGGAGGCGAGAAGGGAAGCACAGTCGAACTGTGGGTCAGAATTCTGCATGCTGTCGCCGGCAAACAGCCATGGAAGATTTCCGCATGAAGGTTGGGAGGCAAGCGGCTGTCTCTGTGCACTTGTACATTGTACATGTTGCAAGATAAGCCAAGCGATTCAATGCAAGGTGCTGGAGCTTGAAATGCTTGTTCTCGGCTTTGCTCTCATCTTGTTGCCAGCTTTGAGTCATTTCGACATACACACTCGCACGGGGGAGGCACGGCTTCATGAGGGTCCAGCTTTGGGTCATTTGGGGTACGGCTTGGTGTGTGGATTTTCGGATCTACACCTGACTAGTGCAAAAGCGTAAGGTATAATTCTTCTGTGTCAATGATGCGTCGGTGTGCTTCCCCCTTTAAACCGTTGAGTTGTCCTTGCCTGGCTGCACCGGTGCGTGCGAATTGTACGCAGTGCTGGCCCACTGCTTACATTACATCGCACTGCCATGACTGCTGGTGGGTGTGTCGGGTTTCCACTCAACCTTGCCTAAATCAACTCACCTCCTTTGCCATGCCTTGTTGCACACTAACCGAGAAGCCGCCAATCACACACTTTCACCCGCGATCGTCTGTGATCTTTGGCAAACCTCGCTGAAAGAAAAAGCGTCTCTACTCGCAATGCAAGATCGCAGCGGGTTGGGCAGACATCCAACCTAGTACACATCGCGCAACTCACAGCTGTTAGTTACTATCAGCATATAACGACATAAGGCCATGTGACCCAGTTGCCGAAGAAGCAACATCCCACTGTGAAACAGACCGTCACGCAACAACAAGCAAACCACAAAAACATCACAATGCGGAAGATGCCTGCTGTGCCAGGCAAACCATGAACGACCGTTCAAATTGAACAACAAACGTCAGCCACAACATCTCATCCTAGTCTCCAACAATCTTTATCACATCCTACATCAGCGCGGTGACACCGTGGCCGCGCCTCCTGGGAAAAATGCCGGCCCCTTGCGTGCACCCTCGGCGCCGCCGCTGACACCCATGCCAAGAAAACCTAGGCTCAGGCCGCGCTCTCTCTTTCTCTCATTGCTTTGCTCCGGGGTGTGGGTCGCAAGCAGTCCTTGCGACCCACGCGTCAGCGCGACCCCATCCATCATATTGTACGGATGGGCTTGGCTGTACACGGAGCGAGTTTGTGGGAAGGAGCTGGTGCCCGTGTTTGAAGCCTACAAAACCCAGTGCACTGTATGGGGCCTGTTAGTAGCGAGTTCCCAGGGCACCGGATCACTGCCACTTTCGGTTTGGGCTTGTGCCCACTGTGCCACGGTGCTAACCCACCTTTTCCTGCCTGAGCCCTGCCTCCAGCCCGAACACAAGCCTCAGCCCTGCGCACTCACTGCCTGCGACCTTCCACTCAACCCTGAAGCTTGGTACTGGGCGGGTGCCCTCCCTGCCGAAACTCAAAGTCGGTGTGTAACAACTTACGCAAACAGCTGGAAAACAACAACTATGGAGCTCCCTGCCTCTAGCCCGAACGGAAGCCTCAAACCCTGCAGTCACTGCCCCGACCTGCCACTCAACCCTGAACCTTGTTCTCTGCATGTACACAGCTGGTTCCCACACAAAGGTACAAACAGCTTGCCAGTATAGAAGGGGGCCCGTTAAACTAGTTGTCGTCAAAAGCTGCGTGCATGCGTCGTCTGCATTGTGTTCCGCGGCTTTGAGGCGAGTGCCCCTCACCAGGTGCACTCAGTGGTGGGAGTGCTGAACCCGACCGTGGTCGTCGATTTTGGGGTGGCCCACCCTCCCCGAGTTCTCCCTGGTGAAGAGGTGGTCCACCATGAAGTTGGTGCCCAGGTAGGAGTAGCGTCTCCCGTTCGTGTGTGTGTCCTCGCCGTCCATCTCTGCGGGCGCTTCCACTTCTGGCAGTGCCGGCTTTGGAGCTTGTGCCTCTGCTTCTGTCGAGTCCACCATGCTCTGCCACATCTGGTCGAGCATGTTTTGTGGTTGGGTGCTCACTGCATCCATTCGTGTCTGCTGAGGCGGTTCTTCTGAGGTCTGCAACTGCTTCTGAGGCGAGTGCCCGCTCGGCTCCGGTCAAGCAGGGCAGGAGCGTGCGGCTGAGAGCTGGTGCCCACGTTTGTGTGCCCCTGCTGTGCTGGGCTAGGACTTTGGCTGCGCTCACGAGGTCCCGTTGCCCTTCTCCTGGAGTGCCCCAAGCTCGGTTGTGTGCCTCCGCCGCTTTGGTCGCCACCGCCGCGATGTCCCCCAACTGCTGGTGCATGTAGTCGATGGTGTTTTCTTGGGTCTCCGCTCCTGCGCACCGCTCGCAACATGTCCTCGCAAAGCTCCTCTGCTCTGCAAGTGCACTTGTCCCCACTCTCTTGCCCATGGGGTCGAGTGGAAAAGCTGGGTGCTTTTTTGAGCAAGGCATGCAAGGCACAGAGCTCCTGGATGTCCTCCAGCAGGTCTTCTGTGGGGACTCTGTGGGGTCTCGAGGTCTCCATGAGCTGTGTCGCACAGTCGAGCAAAACGTTGGCGAGTGCCCCTGCGGTCTGGTGGGGGTTTGGGGGCGGCGTCTGCGTCACTGAGAGGGTCCCGCTGCCGGGAGGCGTTGGCTGCAAGCATGCTAGGGCTTGTTGTGCATGTTCCCGGACTGTCCTGGCTCAGCCAGTTCGAGCAGTAGAAGGAGTCTGTGTCTTGCTTTGGCTGCGCTGTCGAGGAGCTGAGTGGTAGTGGCCTGCTCGGATGCTTGTGGTAGTGGCGGTGGGGGTGGTTGTGGTGCTGGCGGGCTCCTGCTTCTGCTTCGCTCTTTGCATGAGCTCGGTTTTGTCGTCTTCGCTGGGCTATGACGTTTCAGATTCGTCGCCCGTGTGGTGCTTTGGAGATGGCTCGTGGCTGCTGTGGCTGTGGCTTTGGCTCTTCTGTCTCTGCACCGGATTTTGGTGGTGGTTCAGGTTGGGGCTGTGGCTGTGGCCGTAGTTGTGGGCGTGTGCCCGTGCCGTGGTTTCTTGTGGTGTCTCGGCTGCGCTTGTTGCTGCGCTCTGGCGTTGCTCGGTGGGCTGTTGGTCCGGCAAGTTGCCTGTGTCGGTGTGCTGTGTCTGGGCCGGTGCCCGCTGCGGGGTGTCCGTGCTGGGGCTTGCTTGTTCGGTGCTCTGCCCTGCGTTTGGCAGGGGGAAGCTGTAGCCGCCAAAGTTGTGCAGGGCTTGTAAGTTGTAGACCTTGAGTGTCCGCTTGTAAAGAGCACAAAGGGCTCTGGGTATGTCGGTCTTGGCGCTTGGCACCGGACGCATTTGGCCCAGGCCCATTTCGAACTGCAGCCATGCTTGGTCTCCTCGTGGCCACAGTTGGGCCAGTTGGGGTCGGCGCTGAGCATTGGAGTCAAGAACTTGCTCCGTCCACGGTGCTCCACCATAGGTCGTAACTGATACATGGCGTTGGCGTCGAAAGGGCTTGTTGGCCTGCCTCGCCTAGGAGCGCCTGCTCCCTTTGCTGAAGCATCAGCACCTTCTTCTCGTACACTTCTCGCTGCTGTGCTAAATGTCGCACTCGGCGAAGCTGAGGTTGCATCATGATCGTTTCGAAGGCACCGGTAGCCAGCACATAGAACAAGCGCAAGATGCATCGCCTCCACCGCCGGAGCCATAATAAAGACTTCCTGCTGGTTTCCATCAAAGAGAGAAACAGAGAGCACTAGAGAGCTCGGAGGAGCACTTCTCTTGAGAAAGTCATACGTTGCGGCCACATACCATCTTTGTCCGAACTCACACAGCGAGACTTCCACATGTCTTGAACTACGTCGGCTCATCTGCTGCACAACTGACGGTCTCGTGTACGCAATAAGGAGTCAAGAGCCCCGACATGTCAACGACTGCCTCCAGCTGATCAAGAAGTAAGCCGGAACCAAGCACGGAACCGCCCCCCCGGAACAATCTGCACTCGAAGAATTCCACCGCGACCCCCGAGGCCAATAGGAATGTAAGCCACTCGAGTAACTTCCTCGGCTCCACAACCCCCTCGAACAGTACCTCCCTGTTCGTCTGAGTAGTGAGCCCGAAGACGAAAACGTTCTTGGAGATATCGGTCGTGCCTCGCCAACGTTCCACTTCCAATCAGACCATGCTGAGCAGCTGTGTCGATTAGTGCAGTTCCGGAGGATTCGAGGCTACAGGAAGCGAAAGTGTAAGACAAGAAAGTGCACATGTATTCCTCGTTGGTCGCAGGCTGCTCTTCGAAGAAAAGCCCATCCGCCAGCGACGGCTGCGCTAAGATAGGTCCATCACTGGTCGGCACATGCTGTTCAGCAAACCCGCTAGACCTTCGCGCCTTCATTGTCAAAGCTCTGAGACGGACTGCCCACGAAGAACAGGTTCGTAGAAGGAGGCCCGGCGCGCCCATTTGGCTGATGCCCGAACTCGCATTGGGACGTGGGCTCTGTGGAACCGGTGCCCGACGTCGCTGTGGGCAATCTTTCGACCAGTGTCCCAGCTGCCGGCAATTGTGGGTGCGGTTGTGGATCTCCTGCAAAGACGTTCGAGGCCTCCGTCCATCGTGGCCATTTCCCTTTCCAGCTCCCAAGCCCCGGCTCGTCCTTGCATCTTGAAAAAACTTCCGGTGGCCAGCATACGTTCCGTAAATGCCGAAACCCTTCCATGGATCCAGATCGCTCCTTCCCTTTGGCCTTTGCAATTTCCCTTGAACTTGCCGTTTCCCTTGCCTTTCGAACTCCACCGGCCAGCAGCCTCACCGTACACCAAGGACAGAAGCTTTTCGGTGTACGCCACGGCCGCGTCCTTATCAAGCATCTGGCCACGGCTCGTTTAGGCAAAGGAAAACTGTGCCACCATCATCGACCTCCAGCAAGTTCTCGAAGGGGTCAAAGTCGTCGGCCTCGGTATGTGCCTGGTTGCCGTAGTAGGTCTGGTCGCCGTAGTAGATCTGAGGTCGCCGTAGTAGATTTGGTCGCCGTGATAGATCTGGTTGCCGTGGTCATACAGATCTTCTTCTGAAGGCTCGCCATTACTCACCCCAGTAGGTAGCACGTCCCTTGTACAGGTTGGCATCGTCCACCGAGTCAGCAAAGACTTTCCGGATAGCCAGCCCCACATTCCGGAAATCGATGGACCCGTCGGTCAGCACCCGGATTCTCTGCTGCTCATCTTACGTGAAACCACCCGGACTCATCACCAGGTGGCCCAAAAGGTGCTGGCCTGCATCACTGTCAAGCAAGTCCAAGCCTTACTTCCGAAGTTCAGCGAGAAGCTGCCTTCTTCGTGGCCAGGTAGCTGGCGATCGTCTGGCCGGCCCGCCAGATGCCACCAAAGAACGCCTGCTCCAACTTCGCGACCTTCAGGTACTCGTGCGCCTCTTCGATGCACCGCACGACCTTCTTCCAGCCATTTTCTGCTGTGATGTCTTCCACTGTCAGGTGGGCCACAACCGTTGAAGACAAGCGGCTGGCATAGGGGATCGCATCTAGACGCTCCCGTGCCTCGATCAGCCACAGCTTCAATTTTCGAGCATACTCACGGAACTCGGACTAAGGTCTTTCGCCGTGCCAAGACGGTGCGCTCTCCATTCTGTAGTCCGTGAACTTCCCCGAGCAGCCGGAGACTTGGGCTAAGCTGTGGTTCAAGCAGCACTACCCGTAGCCATCCCTGATGTACACGTTTCAGCTCACACCCTTCCACTGCACCGCACACTTCCAAAAGCTCACCGGACAAGCTGGTAGAACTCTCAAGCCAAGGCCAAAGCACCTGGCTTCTACGGCCCAGGTCACCAAAACAAACAGCTAATAGCGCTTGATGTAAACAAAGTCCCGAAAACATCCCCGTCGGAGGATCAGGTAACCGGACACTTCCACAATGTCCGGCTCCGGGGGCGTCCCCTCAAATCACATGTGCGGCTCAGCGGGCCAAGGTCGTCACCCTGGCTCCGCTACCATGTAATCCGAAGCACACTGGAGGATCGCACACCCTCGCTTTTCCGGATAGCTCAAGGTGCTTCTGTTTGAGAGGAAATGACCCGCAGACTGTACAGCTCAACCCAACAACTCGGCACTGCAATCAACTGCGATCAGCTGGGACCTCCCAAGGTGGATTGTGGATGGGCGTGGACTGGTGCAGAGGTACAACACGGCCCTGGGAGCGAACAAATCTCGCAGGGATGGGCCGCATCGGCATCGGCCGAGGTCTTACTCTAGCTTCCTGGCTTATCGTGCTAATTGCTATTTCCTGTTTATTGCCTGAACAGCTGGCTGAACTTAAGAAGTAAGGCCTCATGCAGCCCTTCTTAAATTCTTGGGGCCACGTTCAAAGACTGCCGGCAGCCTGCACTGCCAAGCGAGAGGATCGGCCAGGTCATGAGGCTGGAAGCTCGGTACTCCCGAAGCTCTTTATTCCTAACAATGCACTCGCGCTATTTTGTTCTTCTTCTTTGTCTTCACGCGGAATGGAGTCAGTAGACTTGTAACTGCCACGCTTCCAACTGTAACTGCCACGCATCTTCCAATCGGTATCCCCTCCGCTGCGCGCACCCACGTCTCAGGGCCCAGATAAGAACGGAAACTCAAAACCAGAAGTATCACATGCGTGCGGGTGGTACGCAGATCAGATTGCTCTCTGGAGCTGATCGAGGTGCTCAAACTATCGTCTGCACGTTCCTGGCTGCTGGGGGTCATAAGGGATTTTTTAGGAGGACCGTGGGATCTCCCTTTCAGAAAATGTTAGGCTGCTTGACGCCATGGCATGATTAGCCTGTGAAGCTCGGGGCCCGATTGTCCGGTCCGATTGCCCCCGCCGAGACCGCAGTGCACGGTACACGTGGTTCCGCTGGAACTTCCCCCCTGCGTTCGGAGGACAGTGTCTACAGAAGGGGGTGTGTTTTCCGTTTTTCGCCATTGTGCCGGTCGGAAGGCCGCTGCACAAGCCGGCTTCAACGACACCTCCAAATTAGGACGCTATGAGCTTGCTATGGGCTATCGGCTATCGATGGTCAGTGTACAAAAGGCCTGTCTGCGCTGAGCCAAGAGACGCAGCCCGCGCTTCTCCAAGCTCTCGGCCCTGGCTCGACGGCTGAAATCTCTTCTTGGGATGCTCTGCAAGCGCCGCCCGGAAAAACTAAAAGTGCGATGACTGAGCAGTTTGGCTTTCATAGAATGTAATCCTTGCCGTCTCACCCCTCGACAACATATTGCGCCCTTTGTGTCAGCAGTAGACAGCTGTCCTGCAAAACCTGGCTCCACCAGCTCACCCGAACAACCACAACCACTGTAACCACCGCAAAGTACCACAACCACCGTAAGGGCACTGGTGCCTTCAATCAAACAAACATGATAGTTTTCGGATTTTTGGGCCTGGTAAGATTTGTCTGATGCGGTCCATAGCTGCAACACCAACTCAGGCTGCGGACCGCTGCAGGATTGACGGACACCATGGCAGCTTCATGTGGCGCCTCCGGATTTGATCGCGGAAGTTCGCATTGCCAACGTCGATAATGATGTCGTCTTGGCACTGCTTGATAGACTTGTGATCAAGGAAGTCTGGCGCATGACAACTCAAGAATGATTGAATGCAGAACAGGTGGGCGCCCAAGGCATCAAATCGATGTTGCAACATGTGCAGGCAAGGGGCTCTTCTGGAACAGGGCCGCCAAGTCCTGAATCCAAGCAATTCACACACAGACGGATGCAGGTCTCCTGTGTCTACAACTTGGGCATAATCGATGGAGAAACATGATGCATAGGATGCAGTGGCGGCAAGCCGTCTGGCGCGCAGTAGCAGTTTCCTAAACTTTCCGCTCCTCGATGACTGCATCCGTGGCAGCGCCGGCTGGAACTAGGATGATAGCCTCACGAAGCTCCATGTCGGAAGACGCAATGTCCAACTTTAGCGCCAGAAGTAGATTTGATCAGGAGCTCTGAGATTCAACTGGTAGACCTAGAAAGCATTCCGCCCTAATCATTTGCAGTCATGAAAGTTACCTCCGTGCACAGCATCGCCGGCCCTACGCGGGGGCACCTTGCGGGGACGTTTCAGTGAAGCGACGAAATCCTGGCGAACACAACGTCATTTTCAGACGCCAGCCGGCTCACATGCTCGTTCTGGTGTGTTTCGGTTCATCAACGCAATCAAAGGACCATACCTCTGGTCTTTACCCACCCCCCTGATGTAATAAGGGTATGTATTATGTTCAATACCAACCTTGTCAGATCTTGTCAGACTGAGCCGGGCTGAGGTTCGTTTCTCTCGGCTTGCTTCGACTGTGTTCCCGCTGTACAGGTCACAACACGTCTACAGAGAGCGACTTTCGAGCAAGCACACACAAACAGAGCAAACACCTGGGCTCAGAATGCGCTCTATGCAGACGAGGCAAAAGACAATTGCAATTGCTGGCAGAGCCAGCAGGACTCATGTTCGCCGAAGCTCTTGTTGGTGACATGTGGCCGCAGAATCAAATGAAGCCATGCGGAACATACCATCCTGTGGTGGCTGAAGATCTAGCTTTTCCTGTGATCTAAAAATGAATTCAATTATGAAGATTCGTGGGCGGACAGGATACGCACACCTAGGCCTGGGCCCACCCTGGACGGCTGTCGAAGCTCTTGCTATCCCACATCTAGCAAGTCCAAGCAAAGCTCAAGCTCTTGAGATCTCCCAACACCGATCCCCGAATCGTTTCTTGAGGCTTGTGCCTGGGAAGTTGTCTACTTTTATGCATGGTGCTCGGCTTACTGCATTCGAGCTTGGGCAACTGCAACAGCATCGGCTATGAAACTCAGCAGGCCAAAGTGCAAGTTCAAGCCTTTGCAGGCGATGCATGAAACATCTGTTCAAATCCAGTGCCAAGCTTGGAACTTGCAGAAAAACGAGCTTGGTCAAAAGTGTCAACGAACTCTGCGAGGTGGTCGGAACATGAAACCTGGCTAAGGGCGCACGCGAACTTAACGTGCACGGTCTCGATGGCTACCGAAAGATGAACTCACAGAGCTGCTTGAAGCCACCAAATCCCCCCTGTGCCTCGGAGGGAAGGGTAAGTCGGATCAGAGGCACAGGGGGCATCGCGTTCGGGAACTGTTTTCCTTCAAGCACTGGTGAACGACAGCCTCTCTTCAGTCCTTCTTCATCTGCCGAGACACCATGATGAGCCGATGCTGATCTTCCTCATTGAAATAACTACCTGGCATCGTCACACAGTCGGGTCGCCATCAGCAAGTCGTTACATGTCAAGCGAAGGGTACATGGGAGAATGTCAAGCCTAGAGAGATCACCTCACGTTGCTTGTAATGTCAAGGTGAGTTCGGAAGGTCCTACGGCCTTCAGAATACTTGCTTCGTGGGCTGGGCCGGCCAGTGATTCCGAAACACACATATCGGCGTGTGGTGCCGCTCACGGACTCGGCCAGCAGCTCACGTGATATGATTATAGTTGCACGGAACGTGTCTTTAGGAAACCACTTGCAGTAGGCCTGCTCTCAAGAAACTCGCTGGGACAAATCTTGAAAGTGTTTGCCGGTCGCGCTGCTCCGGTCGCATCTGGACTGCAGAGTGTAGCCGGTGGGATGCTCCGCCAAAGATCGAATGATGATTGACAGAGATCAGTCTGGCCTGCTGCAAGAGTCACCTCAAACCACCAGCCTGAGCTTGCGAGCGAACACCTTTAAGCGACTGCTGACGTTTGCTTCCCAGCATTCCAGCCGTTGGTATTGGTTCCAATGCGGTCACGGGGCAAATACTTGTCCTCGGAGCATGCAAGCGGAGGCCATCCCCCAAGCTTTTGTCACTGTAACTGCGCATTGCATCCCTTCGTGTTTGTTATGCGAAACCTACAGAACCCTTCTTCAAGTTTGCCGGGCATCCATGTCATCCTCAGCCTTGAAGATGTGACGAAGTGCGACCGTCATCAGAACTGCAGCAGCAGCTCCTCGCGCAGGCTGTGCAGCAAACGCACGGGCCGACGGCTCACTGCTTTGCTGCTTTCCAGACCACGTAGCTCCTGCTGAGGCAGCTCCGACGACTAAGAAACGGACCTGAGTGAACCATGGTGAAGCAATCTGTTCGGAAAATCTTGTAACAGCTACGTCCAAGTCGGTGACGTGCGCTGGACCGCAATCGTAATCATCCGCAATCCACTGTACATTGACACCAAGGAAAAACTCAGTGCAGCACATCCTTGCCCTCTGGCTTTCGGCTCTCCACGGCCACCAGTCCCACAGCCGTCGCATCCGTCGCCTCCGAGGCCGAGAAATGTGTAACTCCGAGCGTGATAGCGTACTGCTACAGTAAAGGCGAAAGCGCTGCATGAGTGCTGCATGTGTCGCATCTTACCCTTCGTTTCTGGTGCGTTTTTCGCCGGCCTTCTGCTCTGCTGAATCCAGGAGTTCGCGCACACTGTGCAGCGCTTCCCGACGCTGGCGGCGGGCCTTTCGATTAAGCTTTTCTTCAGCTCGTGCCACTTGCGCCGGATGATCTGAACCGTGCAACGAGTCGTGCCATGTCGTGCTGAACAAGGCAATGATCAGAACCCAACTTGATCCGCTGCCTACTGTCTACCGTGTGTTGGAGCAAACAGACCTTGGCCACCTGCGCGTCGAAGTGCCTGCGTCACACACAATCTGCAAAGATCTATCAATGTTGTCGCTGTGGAACAGTTTCGTGCCTGGGCAAATTCCTGGCTGCATCCTCTGTCACTCGAGCTCCTTGCATGTGCAAGGAAAACACATTCAAGCTGCTACGCTGCTGCTACACTCGAATTCCTGCAACAAGAACTTCCTCACATTTGCTCCATCTCGTTCTAAGAGTCCCTTTGATGTGTGAAGCTTTCTCTGAGACATTCGAAACTCAAAAACATCAAAAATAAACCCTGTCGTTTTCCCTGCCAGCCTCAGCTTATGCTTGCTTCAGGCCTCGCAATACCTTGTAACGACGCTCGAAAACCAGTTTTCGTCTTCAGCAAAAGTGTGATGTTTGTTTGTCAGCTAAAGTCTCACACTCTGACAATGCATCTTCTGTTGATACCTTGATGAAGAGGCAGTCTTGGGAAGTGGTATCACGTTTACGACTGCCTTCAAAAGGCTGGCCGCTATGACAGCGACACAGGTTGAAATGGAAGGGAGGATGGGGCACCCACGAGTCCTCTGCAGAACAGCATGCGGTGATCCACAAGTGACACTGGCAGGCCGCTCATAAGCCCAGTGCAACAAGACTGTTGGGAAGCACCGTGGTCATATCCTCTTTGCAACCTTATACTAGCTCAAAGGCTGGTCTGTTGCGCAGAACGGGGCAGGCTTCGACATGACTGCAAGCCGCAGCTTTTGTAGACAAAGAAGCCGAAACACATCTGTCTTCATGCAGCTAGATGGGCAGAGGTGGAATGGTGCGGTGGTGGAGACAGTAGTAGGAACCAGTCGGAGTCGGAGTAGTAGTAGTATAGTAGTAGTAGTAGTAGTAGTAGTAGTAGCAGCTGCTCACGGATCGTTAACTGTCGTGCGTTTCCGTGCATTTCTGAGGATTCGGACTTGTCTTGGGGAGGGTGGGGTGGGGTGGGGTGGGGTGGGGGGGTTAATAACGTCCGTGCTGCGTGAGCGTGGGCCAAAGCCTCCTGTGCGCAGTTGTGCATCCGCCTCTCCGCAGTTGTGCTGGCTCCGTATGGGAGTTCAACTCCGACGAATCTCACAAATCTGACGAAGTTGATCCGATGCGTTTTCCTGCAATAGGCACATATCATGAAGATGATTTGATGCAGCTTTCGCGACCAAAATTCACCAATCCTCCTCAATCAATACGAATTCCCAATGTTTTCATCCTGATTCCAATCTATCCCATCTTCCACTCAACTCAGATGAATCTCTCAACTCTGACGAAGTTCATCCGATGCGTTTTCCTGCGATAGGCACATCTCACGAAGATGATCCGATGCAGCTTTCGCGAAGATATTCACAAATCCGCGGCAATTCCCTATGTTTTGATACTGCGACGAATATGTCTTTTTCATTGATCTCTCTTTGCTGCCACATCCGCGGTTGAAAAAATCATGGCTTACTCATCTTCGAAACCACGTACAAGAAAAAACCACAAACTTTGGGGTAAACGGCAAAATCGCATTTTTGAGTGCTGACAACACGAAAACCTCGTTGTGCGCGCTGTTTTCGGCCTTTCAACCACGCGAAAAAGAAGACCCCAAAAAGTAAGACGCCGAATCTCGCAAAGTGCCACGCCTGCCATGGTTTGGAGCATGGTTTCCACAACACTAGCTCTGAAAACAGCATTTTTTTAAGACCTTGTTTTCAGTCTGAAAATGCGATCCCGCTGTGGCGAAACGCGTGTTTGCATAAAAAACGCGTGACGGATTCCGACACGTGCGGTAGTAGTAGTAGTAGTAGTAGTAGTAGTAGTAGTAGTAGTAGTAGTAGTAGTTGTAGTTGTAGTAGTAGCAGTAGTAGTAGTAGTAGCAGCAGCAGTAGTGTAGTCGCAGGAGCAATAGTAGGAAGGAGCTAGTCGGAGTACTAGTACGAGTACTAGCAGACAGCGCAGTAGCAATAGTCGTAGTCGTCGTCGGCGTCGTCTTCGTCGTACCAGTAGTAGCGGTGGTGGTAGTGGTCGTAGTAGTAGTAGTCGTCGTTGTCGTCGTAGCAGGTAGGAATAGGCGTAATGGAATTGGTAGTGGCAGTGGTGGTAGTAGTAGTTGTAGCAGGAGGAGGAGGAGGAGGAGGAGGGGGGAAGAGGAGTAGTAGCATCAGTAGCGGTAGCAGCAGCTGAAGCCGCAAACGACGGCCTTGCAGGATGCGCATCTGCTCAAGCAGCAGCATGTAACAGAACTTGAGCCCTTCCCAGCTCTCCTTTCTCGGCGGCGTCTGCAGCATGGCGAGCTGCTTTCTCCGCCATACGATCAAACCTGCCCGTCCGGCATGGAAACAGGAAAAGACCGGAGCGAATGCTTCTTTTTGACATGCTGATCCATCGCCTGTCAGACATGTCCGGAAGGTCAAACCGCCGGGCAACCCGATCGAGGTGGTCGGTCTGCTGGCGAGCCTGCCTCGCCAAGGCGTCAGCCTCGCACCAAGCTAAGAACTATGCTCAATGCTTTGTTTTGCTGAGTGTTGCCAGCAGGTGAGCTGCTTCGCACCGGAAACAGTCCTGTTGCTGTGATGTGATGTCGATTTCCGGGCTGGAACGCCTTGACATCGGTCAACCTACCACTAAGGTTCTAGTGTGACTGTAGCATACTGTAGCTGGCTTTGCCCGAGGATGACACAAAGATGTTCCCTTTGAAGGGATCTTGCTGCTGCCTCTGGTGCTGGCGTAGTGGTCGTCGTTGGAGTAGTCGCCGTCGCAGCAATATTCGCAGTAGTAACAGCAGCAGTAGCAGTAGTAGTAGTCGTGGTGGTAGTAGTGGTAGTGGTAGTGGTAGTGGTAGTGGTAGTGGTAGTAGTAGCAGTAGTAGTAGCAGTAGTAGTAGTAGTCGTAGTCGTAGTCGTAGTAGCAGCAGCAGCAGTAATAGTAGTACCAGCAGCAGTAGTAATAGTAGTAGCAGTAGCAGGAAATGGACGTAAGTGAAAGGTGGTGCAAGCAGCAGCAGTAGTAGCAGGTTTCAAATGGTGGTAGGAGGAGGCGGCGAAGGATTGGAGCAGCTTGGGGTAAACATGAACGGTGTGGAGTGAGCTGGTGCAGCATCTCCTCTCGCTGAGAACCCGGCTTGATCACGGGCCTTCCTCGCAGCATCACGTCCGGAATCCTCTCCAGCACAGAGCTACAGGCTCCCATGCAAGGCTGGTCGCTCTCAACACCACATACCACCACCGCAAAACAGATGAAAAAATGGCGAGTTGATCTCGACACTTGCAGGCCCCACCTCTATATGTCTGGATGCATCATCCACCAGCTTGGAAGTATGGCTTTCGAGTTCACGAAGTTTCGCATCTGCCACCTCAGGCACTGAGTTCTTGCAGGTGACCAGAATGGCAGCGTAAGCATGGGGAATGGAGGGGAGTTTGCGTGCACCTTGCCGGTCTGGGGCTGTTGCGGAGTCACGCCCCAATGTGCTAAGGCGATCCAACAGCAGGCATGTAGCAGGCTTGGCTTCCCACCTCCATTTCTTTGAGCACCTGCCTCGCGGAATCTAGCTGCGACTTCTCCACATCAGAAGCTGCTTCCTTCACCGCAACCGGTCAAGAGATTCTGGCTGAGTCATCTCAACGTCATGGGACCGCACAGGGTGCATGCCTTCTGCATCGAAACGAAATGCTCCGAGAGCTGCTCGCTTCTGACACCCAGGTCAGCTTCTGCGCGCTGACGAGCCTGCTTCTCCTGAGCCCCCGCAGTATGTGCGCAAATGAGAAGGGCAGTGTGTTCCTGCAACTCGCACTAGGGGTCCGTCCGCCTCCTGGACTGATTGGTGCATGCTGCTTTCCACAGAGTCTCCCAATGATGTGATCCTGACATGCTGGAACCCTTTCGATTCTCCTTTCAAACGCAAGCTACAAACATGCGGAGCATTCGCATGAATCATGAAACGAGTAACCGTCCATCTACATAAACGAACAAGCAATCAACGGCATAACCATGCCAAGCAGATCTCATTCCTTGTGGCGCATACATGCTACGCAGTCATAGTGGCATGCAGCCCAACATCGTTGATTCATACATTTATGCCTTCCGAAACACATCTTCTTCTTCTTTCGGTCCCTTTGCAGGCCTGGAGGAGGGCTGCCATGTGTTTCTTGCTTGCTTGCTTGCTAGGGGCCACCCATCCCCCGCCCTCCCCCCGTATTGGGGTTTGCTGTACCACACGTCCACAACGCTCAACCAGGGCTCTGGGCCTGCTCTCCCTCTCCCGATGGCACCGGAGCCAGGAACAAAGAATTAAGATTGCCAGGTTACAGTTTGCAGTTTTGCCTCTTTGCACTGCTAGGTATCCATGCCGGGTCTTCAGACTCGACGCGAGGTGTATTTTGAAGTGTATAGCCTGACCTGAGATGTGGCAACAGAAAGCAAGGCCAATCGTGTCTCATGACTTTCTGAGCAAAGGTCAAACTCTAAATCAAAAGGCTTCTCTCTTGTTTGATTGCTTGCTTGCTCCCGGACCCGTGGCTGCACCCTGATGCACATGACATAAATGCCGCTTTTTTGGGGGAGTGGCCACAGTGACATGCTATGGACATGCTCTCAAGCTGTCAGACGCGAATCGCACTCGCGTTGCCAGATCCACTTCCCCAAAATTTCGTATCAAGAAACTCCACTCCTTTCCAGATCCGGCCTCTGCAGTGTTGACTTGGCCGAGTTTACAGCACCTGAATGGCATACATGAGTACCGTGAGGAATCGGTGCTCGAAGGCCCGCCTTGTAAGGTCTCCTTCCCATCTGACCGAGGCCTCGTGTATCACAACCATGCAGCCACGTTTGAACGACCTAGCTATCATACGGCAGCACTAACTTTATAGGTATGGATTCCAGATGGTTGTGTCCTATAATCGGACTTGCTAATGCCAGTGACTTCAAACGATACGCTGCTTGCAACCCTTGCCCGTGGCCACAGAATCACACAGGGTAAGGCTCCGCACGCAGGCTGAGAAACCTGCATTCCGTGGCAATTTGGCACGACGCTGGACGGTCCGAGATGCACTTGTGCAGTTCACAGAGAGAAAGTCGAGTGGTCAAGCAACACACGAACTTCCGAGAGTGCCCTGCCTGCGGGTCCACTGCCAGTGCAGCCGCCAGCACCAGGGCCAAACGACAGATCATCTCGGATGCCCAAAAACAAATGAAGTTGGGAGAAGAGCGCAAGTTTGGTTGACTAGCAGCAAGCCATTCTACGGGATTATATTGCGCCAGAACAAAACCACATTGAGCCTGCGGCCGAGAACATGTTCGAGCTCTTCCAGCTGGGATCCGTATCACCGTATCACCAATATACACGGATGCTACTCGCGTGCTTGACTCACTTGAGCCTGGATGGTGCCCCATGCTCACATCTCACAGAGTACAGACACGTCCGAAAATGCAGGCTTCAAGCAATAACCTGTCAAAAAAAACAAATCACAGCTCATGAAACAGCAAACTGCCAGCACGGTTCTTGCAGTCTGCATGCAAAACAGAGCTCATTGTCCTTGAGCTTGTGTTTCCCGCCGAAGCCGTGCAGGTTCTTGTATGTTGCATTCGCGGCCAATACCTCGGGCAAGGTTCTGGCATGCAACTCTTGATAGTTGCTGCGAGTATTACTAGTGCCACTAGCCGAAGAGCTAGATAGCAGTTCACTGTATTGACCTGGGATGGGAAAACGGTCTTTCTGCGGGGCCTTGCTGTGCTGCCATGGTCTTTCTCAAAGCGAAAGGACTCAGCTCATTGCTTGGCTCCGTGCTTGCTTTGGTTATGAGATGTAGAGAGTGCAACAGCACTCGCGTGTGAGCCTCAACTTCCTCCAAGCCACTGACTGCACCTGCTCCTGGCTGAGGTCGTATAGTGACACCTAACTTGGCAGCATTTGTGCTGCTGAGTTGCAGGTCCTTGCGCTCAAATTGCTGGCCATGCTTGCCGAGCTTGGCGTGAATTGAGAAAGCACAGAGTTGAACTACTTCGAGTTTACCTAGCAGCAAACATCGGGCTGCTTGCTGTCTCAGCCTGGCTCCGTTTGCATGCTTGGGCTCGATTGCCGTGTTCGGCTCAACACTCCTGGCCTCAAACGGCTGGCCATCGTGGAATTTGTCAGCGATGTTCAGGCCCAAGTTCGAGCCCATCACTCCACTGCCTGAGAAACGACAACAAGAACCCGGACCAAACAACTTGTCAGTTGCGGCAGCTGCTGAGTACCGGAGCTAATTGAGGTGCCGACCAATAATGCCAATGTCGGACACGGCCTTGAGCGCTGGCAATCTTCAGGAATGTCAGCTATCTGATTCAAACAGTTAAACAGCCTCAACACATTTAATGCCTCCTCGCCGTCAAGACTTACCCATGGCTTTGGCACGGCCCGCTCTCTAAGGATCCCCAGTGTTGATAATCGATGCGCTCGTCGCGAGCATTCAGGGTAGACATGTGACATACTGTCGGTATGTGCCACAAAATGGGAAAGGACTTCAAGAGCAAACAAATGAGGATCGTGGACGCGAGCTTCTGACAAATCCAGTGACCTTTCAAGAAAAAGTCATAAACTCGATCTCAGTCTCGACCTAACCATGTTACTACGTAGCAACTTCATCTCGGGGACCATGGATTCACAGGGCGACATGCCGAATGTCCCGCACTGCCGGCCTAGCCTTGTCAGTCTTGTCCATCTTAGCAGTCTTGTCACCCTTCTTCTGGCCGCTGGGACGCAGCAGCTTGGATCGAAGGTCGGCGGCAGGCAGCCAAAACCTCTGCAAGCTGCAAGGCTTGTCAATGCATCTGCGGCAAGTGAGAGGGGATCAACCCCCCACAACCCCCAAGTGCACGTGGAGTCGTGCGCTGCCGTGCGCGCAACAGAGGCACACACGGAGACACACACACACACAGGCACAGACAGAGACACAGACAGAGACACAGACAGACACACGAACATACACGGAGACACACGAAGACACACGGAGACACACAGACAGACAGAGACACACAGACAGACAGAGACACACAGACAGACAGACAAACACAGAGACAGAGACACACAGACAGAGACCCACAGACAGAGACACACGGACGGAGACACACAGACAGAGACACACAGACGGAGACACACAGACAGACACACACACACACACAGACACACAGACAGACACACGCACAGACAGACACACACACACACACACAGACAGACACACACAGACAGAGACACACAGACACACAGACAGTCAGACACATACACGCACAGAGACAGACACGCGCACAGTCAGACAGACACAGAGAGACAGACAGACAGACAGACAGACAGACAGACAGACAGACAGACAGACAGACAGACAGACAGACAGACAGACAGAGAGACACAGACAGACAGACAGACAGACAGACAGACAGACAGACAGAGAGACAGAGAGACACAGACAGACAGACAGACAGACAGACGCACACACGCACACAAATACACACGCACAGACACACACACACACAGACACAGCCACACACACACACACACACAGACACACACACAGACACAGCCACACACAGACACAGACACAGACACAGACACAGACACACGCACACACACAGACACACACACACATACGCACACACAGACACACACACACAGACACACACACACAGAGACACACACACAGACACAGACACAGACACACACACACACACAGACAGACAGACACACACACACACACAGACAGACACACACAGACAGAGACACACACACACACAGACACACACACACACACAGACAGAGACACACACACACACACAGACACACACAGACACACACACAGAGACACACGGACACACGGACACACGGACACACACACAGACACACAGACACACACACACACACACAGACACACACACACACACACACACACACACAGACACACACACACACACAGACACACACACACACACACACACACACACAGACACACACACACACACACACAGACACACACACACACACACACGCACAGAGACACAGACACAGACAGACAGACGCAGACACAGACACAAACACGCACACACAGACACAAACACAAACACAGACAGACACAGAGACACATACACACACACACACGCACACCCACCCGCACACACACATACACACACAGAGCCCCCGCCTCATCTCCGTGCCCCTACGGCATCCCTCTGGGCACAAATCGCTTTCTGGTTGGTACAACCCCATGCATGAGCGCTCAGAAGACATCAACCATGCATAGCAGCATATCAGAAAAGAGACAACAAAGGACAGCCGATTGAGAGTTGGGTGGCCCGCGCTTTGGGTGGAGCAGGCAAGCTGTTTCCTTCAGCGCCTTCTCAAGTTCATCGGCCACAACCCGACCAGTACTGGACTGTCTGGCGACCCTTGGCAGCCTGTGCACCACTGTGATCGGGTCCCCAACTGCCACATCTCCCCGGCCCTCCCACCGCCGGGTCTCAGACCCCGGCCTTCGCCGCCACCATGACCCCATGCATGCTTTTTTGCCAGACGCTGTCAAAGGAACAGGAGTGCATCACTGATGAGATAGGAAACCCCATACGTCGAAGACGCTGGGAACGACAGGGTATGCAGGAAGTCCTGATACCTGAAGTGAAGGTAAAACCCTGGGTACCAGTCAAAAAGGTTCCAGAGGTTTAAGACCCTCACAGCCATACCGAAGCAATCAGAGATTGAGAAGTAGGCAGCTCGCCGTATCGAGAAGAGTACGGGGGAGCAAAACCCTCGAAGCCGCGGTGGCCTAAAGGGAAGGGAAGGGTGGGAGAAAAAATCTATCCTGCAGCCAAGGTCTTGGGCCCGAAGCTACAGGATGAGATGATGCTCGACCCGTTCATGCTGCACAAAGGACCCTACCCAACCATCCTACAATTGTGCCCACAAGCTGCGCGACACGCGTGACGTGCTTCCATGCCTCCCTTGCTTGATGAACTCTTTGGCGTGGTGCTTATTCGCTGTGGCGTGGTGGTGCCCCGATGCGGCAGTGGTCGGGATTTGCTCTTGGGTGCCCACTTCTGTGTGGCCTTTGGAGGGGTGCCGGTAGGAGTGACGGGCTTCCGGTTGGAGTCGAAGTGGTCCTGGCTGTGGGGCGGGGATGTTCGGGCGTAGTTCTGCTGGTCCTGGTAGCTCGAGAGGCTTCTCGCTCTGCGGGTCCTCGTAGTGCTGGGAGGGCTAGTTGCCCTGCCTGGGTGGTTTGGCCTTGATCTTCGTAGTGGCCCTGGGCTCTCCGTCGTAGTGCCCCGGGCGTGGAAGCGAGTGAGGATCGCCTGGGCACACGCTTCACGATCGCGGCTCCAATTCCCAGGTCCTGGTCCCACCAATCATCTCGGGCAAGTTCTAACTCCGTGTACTAGTAGAGACCTCCGCCTCATCGGGTGTGCTTGGCATTCGCGGTGTCCCTGCCGCAGTCACGTCCGTTCCCTCGGTCTTGTTCCTCTCCCAAGGCTGCGTCTCTGGGAGGTTATTCACGACAAGGTGCTGGACGGGCGGCATCTGGTCCCCCATCTCTGCAAGAAGGTGCATCTGCAGGGCGGGTCCGCGATCACTCCGTGTTCCTTTGTGACGTGGCATCTCTGCCCGACCCCTACTCCCGGGCCACCGTTGGGTTCCTCACCAGGGTTCCCGTTTGACTGCCGGTCCCCCACAAAGGTGAGTGCCCCAAGGGCCAGTTTCATGGCGGGACTTTAGCAACACCAGGCCATTCGGTTGACAGCCAAGGGTCCCACAAGGGTGAGAGACTTGAGCCAAAATGGCTACCACAACTTCTTCCGAACAGCCAAAGGAAGCAGTCGAGCTGCCCCCCCGCGCAGGGGCACCCCGCAGGCCCTAAAGCTGGCCGTGGAAGAAGAGCTGACATGCTGCGCGCGACTTGTCAGCCAACACAAATTTTAGCTTGAACGTAGAGTCAAGTGAAAATCTTGCCACTCAGCCTTCCCCGTTGTAGCAAAATCGTGCAACCACAGACTTGACTCCACACCTAAGACGCAGGCTCGCCATCGTAGCCACAGTACTTTACCTCCACATGCTGCAGTTCAGCGTGCGAAGACTCATTCAACTATCCTTGGGTGGTGCCCGTGGTATCGCTCGACTGCAGTTCGGTCCTTCACTGGCGCTTTTCGGCGCTTCGCGGAGACTTGAAGCACTTCTGCCAAGTAGTACCTCAAAGTATTTCACCAGTCCCCGAAGCAAGCCAAAGGCATGCAAAAGCAAGCCAGCTGCCGCACAAAGTTGCCTTGCTGAGCCTTGGGCTTCCCGTCTTCCGCCTTTGCTTGGAGCTGCACTCCAACTGACAGGTTCTCCATGTTCACCTTCAAAACATTGCTTGCAGATCGCTTTCTTCGTTTGTCTCGGCAGGTTTCGACGTCCAGGAGCATTTGCCGACATGCGCTTTCGTCTGCCTCAAGGGCCTCCTCGTGTCTCCGCAGAGGGCTAGCAGGCAAACTGCCGAACAGCCAACAGTTCCACTTCTGTAAGATGCGCATTGATGTTCATAGCCAGGCAGCCAGGCACCCTCAAATCCATCGCAGGTCGCTGTTGCAGCACAGGAGGCTGAACCAAACAACACAGGCATAAAACAAACAGGAGTCTTTGACTGCGGCATGGAAAGAGTGCTTCCGGTACAGGGATCTGGGAGTGGAGTCGCTAGCAAAAGGTCTGGGACGAGTGCGGACTTCCTGTGGAGCTGAGCCACACGTCGGTGCGCTAGACCCGAGGAAAAGCTTGCATTGACTCCGTCGGTCCACCTTAGGCACCCAAGTCCCCGCAAGACCTGTCAAAGCAAAACAATGCCATGGCAGCCGCGAAGTTGTAGTAAAACAACGCACAATGCCGACTCGGCATGCTCCCAAATCCTTCGTTTTGGCACGGCTGCACTACTCCTCGGAATGGGAAGTGCGCTGCTTGGAGCTGATCTTGCGATGCAGATTGCGACAGAGCTCGAAGCAAGGGGGGGCGCCCTATATACACAAATTCCTGATGAATAGCAACAGTAACACTTTGATACGACCTTGTCACAGAACCTGATTCAATACACATCTTCCTCTTCCACCCTGCGGCCTAGCCTTGTCGGCATCGCCGTTCTTCTCAGCTTGCTTCTTCCCACTGGAGGGCAGCAGCTTTGACCGAAGGTCACTCTCCGGCAGCCAAAACCTCTGAATGTTGCAACTTGCCAGGACATGCCAGGACCACCGAACATCAATGTAGACAAAGAACCAGTCAACGTCATAATCTGGACATAATTTTCACTGTTTGAGTTTACACGTCTCGTCTGAATGAGCGGTGTGCGCTAAATCGTCCTCTTGCATCAAGCATGAGCCGCGGCCGAAACGAAACACAGGGAAACCTACGCATCACGTCCGCATCCTGGAAACTCAGAAACACAGGAGCGTGCAGGGCCTCAATGTGCAGTCGTTGAGATATCAAATGACTAATACTCAGCCTGTCCACAGTGGCGCGCTACAGGCCCTAAAGCTGGCCGTGGAAGAAGAGCTGACCTGCTGCGCGCGACTTGTCAGCCTACACAAATTTTAGCTTGAACGTAGAGTCAAGTGAAAATCTTGCCACTCAGCCTTCCCCGTTGTAGCAAAATCGTGCAACCACAGACTTGACTCCACACCTAAGACGCAGGCTCGCCATCGTAGCCACAGTACTGTACCTCCACATGCTGCAGTTCAGCGTGCGAAGACTCATTCAACTATCCTTGGGTGGTGCCCGTGGTATCGCTCGACTGCAGTTCGGTCCTTCACTGGCGCTTTTCGGCGCTTCGCGGAGACTTGAAGCACTTCTGCCAAGTAGTACCTCAAAGTATTTCACCAGTCCCCGAAGCAAGCCAAAGGCATGCAAAAGCAAGCCAGCTGCCGCACAAAGTTGCCTTGCTGAGCCTTGGGCTTCCCGTCTTCCGCCTTTGCTTGGAGCTGCACTCCAACTGACAGGTTCTCCATGTGACCTCCTGGCATGGGATCACTTGCAAACTCTCCTATCGCCTGGCCGTCGCCGCGGTTTGGAACACTGGTTCAAATACTGCCCCCGACTGTACTACAGGCAGGTTGTCTTGTAGCACACAGGATGAAATCAATAGAACATCAGAAAGTTGCTAGCAAACAGCCAATCGGAAGCGTCTACCTGAAGGGCCTGCGGCTATCTCGCACGACAATTTTAAACTGTTGAGCTGTTATGAGCTGTTCAAGACCCGCCAGTTCTGCTGCATCTGTTTTCCTATAAACTAAAGTAGTCTGAGATGAACCGAGCAGGAATGAAATGATGCCAGGCCGGCACAAGCGGCAATCGGAGGCTAGCCCTAGTGATGCTCTGTCTCGGAAATACTGGGGTGCTTTGCAGTCTTTCTTTTGCATCTCCGTCACCTGACCCATTCCTGTCTGTGCCCGGCTTGTGCAATCGCGAAGGAGCTGCGAGGGCGCAAGTTCACATGCTGGCAGTAGCGCTTGTGTTTGAACCTGATCGGCGGAGGATGGCCGGCAATCACCAGAGGCAATAGCAAAGGCTGTCAAGCGGCCGGACACACTTACAAATGGATACAAACGGAGCTTTGATGTGCCCTCGGGTTTACAAGCTGAACATTATCTGCACATGATCCCGACCAGCCACAACTCGAGGAATCCATCAATGCATCCAGGAGCACATGCTAAAAACATTCACAAAGGCGGACACCGGGATTTTCGACTTCGACATACCCCGACTGCATGGCTTTGCCATCCAGTCATGTTCAAACTCTCAACTACTCAAGCTGTCGGTGTATGCTGCGCGCTCGGTAAGATTGAACACTGAATAGGCCACACTTCGATTCCTTTGGACTGTAACAAACTCTAGCACATTAGGCCATTCGTCGCAAGGCTTCCAGTGGCAACAGCAAGTGGCTCGAGCTCAATGAAGGTCAGGGACGGCTCAAGGTAGATCGTAATACACAGCAGTACATATTCTAGCGAACCTGGTTTGCTGCAAATAGCCTTCACCAACGAGCCTTCGCTGTCCATCGCTGCGACTGCAACAAGCCTTTCCTTTGACATGCCGACCATAAAACAAAGAAGGAATACTTTTCTCTGTCTCTGCGAAAAACGCGAACCACCGAGAGACCTTGACATGACGCGCATTAAATTTCTCATGTGTTCACTGGTCTCGTCATGCGCCGCAGCTTGCGGCAATAGTGGTACAAGCGTGACGAATGTCTGCACTCCGAATTCCAGTGACTGCCGCAGAGCTCAGAACAACCAGTGCAGTGCCCACCCCTACCAACAACAGCACACACATGCAGAGTTGCTTTGCCTTGCCCTGCCAGCGGGTACATACCATCCGATAAAACCTGCAGCCACATGCATCTGAACTCTCTCGAACTTACCCCCACGCGCCCGTCCAACGCGTTGTCAGTCGACCTGCGCAGCGAAGCGGCGCAAAGCAAAACGTGTGCGACAATTCCTACTGCCTACCGCAACATCCTGAACACCGACAGTCTGAAGATATCTGCAGCTAACTCCGTACTTTTGGTAAAATGCATTCCATGTGCTTCCGGCAAGCTTGAGGCGTCCCCACATTGCGCCTTGTTGGCATCCTCCTGGCATAATCCCGGTTTTGCATGTGGGAACACTTGCTGCTGCTTGGAGATTCGCAAGCTACAGCCGACGTTCCCTTAAACGCCCGAAACAAACGACAAGTCATCAACTGGCTCGGCCCCCTCCCATCTGTGCGCTCCTGCAAGCGCTTGTTGCGATTATGCAGCCGCTTGCGCTCCCCGTCTTTCTGCCATGCCGACACAGGAGGCGGAAGATCAAACATTGGTTTGCTGCAGAAGGCAGAAGCAGTGGCACAGCAGGCATGCCAAATCGGTGCCACAATCATAAAGGACACGCATAAGCTCTCTCCTGCATGCCAGTACGAAGCCGCATTATCTGAGGCGACGTGCTTGAAGTGCATCGAGGGAGATTCTCAAAGCACTTCGCCTGCCGTAGAACCTTGATGATGTTCTGCGCTTCTTCGATGCCTTGCAATCGTAGCCAAAATTTGCTTGGATGAGACTCCGCCAACATCCTGCGAACGGCAGTTCAGAACAGACGCATTCGAACGGATATCTGTATAGATTCTTAAATGATGTGCACCGGATTTAGTTTCCTTCGCGGTATCCAGGACCAAACCCGCTTGGACATCCTATCGCATCAGTGTGCTGGGTGCTGATCCAATGCTTTCGGCTTCCTGCTCTGCGATTCTGCGGGCGGCATTGGAGCTGCCAAATCGGCTGGGCTGAAATCTTGGCCAGGCTGGCGGATGTTCGGCGAAAAAGCTGCAAAGCATTGGGAACATTAGCATGTATTGCACTCTAGAAGAGTGTGAAAAGCGGAGGATTCCACTCAACTCTCGGTCACAAAGCCCAAGGCAACCAATCGTAGATAAAAGCAAGGCAGCAGGCAAAGCAAGGATGATCAGAGATTAAAACCGTAAGTTTGACGCTCAGCGGAAAGGCAGCACTAGAACCCCCAGGTGCTAGCGGACCTTTTGCTGGACCTGACGCAAAGTCGGTCTTGAGCTGTCAAGCTGCGCAGTGAGACAAAGTTGGCGTGAATCCTAACCAAGACACAGAAGCACATGTACGCATGTCCGTGACAAATCACACCCCCCTCGACGCGAGCTCACGCGTGAGAAGAGCGGAGTTCAGGAGAGTCACGTACACTGGTTGTGCACCGAGCCACACCTCTTCCGGTCAGCTAAGCTTAAAGCAGTAAGCACCATTAGATGTGGGTCGGTCTCTGCATCCGGATCAAACCTATGTTTCACTTCTGTACAGACGCAGCCTTTTTGTGATCGTCAGGTGCATAGCGAATTGCCGTGTGATCGTTGGCAATCGGATGTTCCATCGGATCTATGCGGGGGTAACACACTAGACTCAACGCGCTCAGAGTGTAGACTCGGCAGCATCGAATGTCCGTGAAAAGAGAGGGACACACGAGGAAAATACCATGGCTAACCATTGTACCCCTGTGGGTCTTCTCAGCGCGGCGCAGGCAAGGAAGGCTGAGGAAGTAGCGGAAATTGTGTCATAGCCGGGCTTCACCATCAGACTCCGCCTGACCCCGTAATCGCGTGACGCAAGGGTCAGAAAGACTCAACCGGATTCACCTTGCAGTGACACAATACGTCGCTACGTATGTTGACGGTCGTTACCTACGACTTGTGGGGCTACGGGTGCGGTCCTTATTTCCTCGTCCAGAACCGCCCCTTCCTTTGTTTCCCTTATCGCCCTTTCCTCGGCCTTTCTCCTGCTTTCCTTTTCCTTTCTCGGCTTTCCCTCTTCCTTTGCCCTTCGTCGGCTGCCTCGTGTCATCAGCTTCATCGATGAGGCCTGTCACGTTGGATCCGGTTCGGGATTTGCCCTTAGCCGTGGTCTCTTTGGCTGGGCCCATCGTTCGAGATCGCGGCTCCGAAGAGGCAGTATCGGAAGGAGCTGGCGGAGCAACATTCGTTTCTTCAGCAGCACGCTGTTGCGTGCGTCCCCGTGCTTCTGCACTTTTGATCACCTGAGCCGGCGCTGGTCGCGCAATCGAGGGAGCCCACTTTTCATCGCGAGGCAACTTCGATGGCGGATTCGACGCAGTGCGAACGCTAGGTGCCGGGAACTGGGGATTAATCCGCTCCTGTGTAGCAGCGGACGTACTTCCAGGCGATGCTGCTCGCCCCGTCCCCGTATTCCCGGTATGGGGAACAGTAACGCCAGCCGCCCTCATATTAATATCGTCATCGGGATTTGCGCCCATCGCGATGATGACGGCTGCGGCTTTCTTCCTGATGATGGAAAGCGTGTTCGGCGCATGATACATGCGAATGATGTCCTCAATCGTCGGGTTATCCAGATCCGACTCCGGAACCCGAGTCTTCATTCGCAACACTGAGGGCAACCGCATTCGATCGGAGTATTCTGCCCTCCCCGACACCATTAACGGTTCTCCATCAGGATGGGCGGCGCTGTAGCCTGTTTGCCGATGTGATTTTCGAGTCGGCAAATTTGATGGCGGCGGCATGTTATGAGGCGGTGGCGGAGTCGTCTCGGGAGCGACACCTCCGAGATGCTCTCGTCCGGTGCGCTGTGATGTTGGATCGGGTCGTACCGCTCGATCGAGCTCAGTATCATCCTCATCCTCGTCATCCGTAGGAATGGGAACGGCATGAGCCTCGGGGATCGGCGCTTGTCTTTGCTCAGTGACCTGCACTCTGCGCTGAGGTGCAGGGTCTCGCCGTCGTGCCTGGCGAGCCGCAACATCGAACACTCTTGGAGGATCATCCAGTTCATCGGGGAGAGCCTCGAAGACGTCCTCAGCCCTTTTCATCAGAAGCGGGTCAGTGCTATTTGCATCGGGAAGCTGATCCTTGACTCCTTCAACAAGATTGAAGAATGTCTTCTCTGTCTCACGATCGTCGTCAAAGCATTCTTTGATCTTGACAGAGTGATCGCGAACGAACTCCTTGAATTCCTTACGCGTCTCTTCCGGCGTTTCGGCTGCATCAAGGAGTGCCGTATTCCCCTCAGCAATAATCGTGAATCGGGGATCAGAGTGATGCGGAATAAGTTTCCGTCCTAAGGGATCCAACTCACGCCAGTTGATGGCTTGGACGTTGGATTCGTCTTCCCCTTTGCTTTTCCCTTTGGGCTTCTCGCTTGCCGCTGCGGCTCCTTCGATCTCTTCTGTTTCATCGTCAGAGATATAGCCAGGCTCACCTTTTGTCGGAATGCCGTAGCATGTGGTAAGGGTAACCTTGGCCAGGAGCGCGGAAAGGCTCTCACTGTCGACACGCATGTATCGTTGATACTTTTGCGTATCCGTGATAGTGGCACGGAATTCATCCAACGTTCCAAACTCGGTGGAGAGTCGAATGTGCCGCCTCATCGCCAAATTGGCGTTTTGCAAGGGCAGATGAGCAAGTCGGATCTTTTCTGCCATCTCTTGGTCGACGGTATAATCGACCGTCACACCTGTGTAAAAGGGGGATAGATACCCTCGCGACAGGCAGACTCGATATGCGCGCTGGCAGTGAATCGACCAACGTGCATAGTAGCACAACGGCTTTTCGCGACATGTGGCGAAGACCGCTCCAAAGTGCTTGACAATCGTGGCAGCACATGCGATCGACTGTGAGTTGAAGAAGTCTTCTACTCCACATCGAGCTTCCTTGCCAGTGATACCGGCAACAAGCCTCTCAATGGAAATGTCCAAGCGAATGGCGCCCTGAATCGTACCGCGCACGCTTCTTTTGAACAGTTCCACTTCCTTCGGCGATGTGTCAGCAGCGGTGCATTTGATCGGTGGCACTCCGAAGAATGCGGTCTGCCTATGGTCCTCAGCGAGAGACCTAGACACCGGGAAATTCCTCAGCTGCTTGATCGCAGGAAACTCGTGAAGCTGGAATTCGGTAAGCTTGTTACGCTCGATCAGATCATTGAGCCACTCAGCATGACTTCCGTAATATTCGACCTGGAAGGGGTTCACAGGATCGGCGTAGAACATCCCATCAGGATAGTGAATCGGCTTAGTGCAAGAGTGACACATGTGGAGACCAACAGGGAATGAAGCTCCGCACATGGGGCAGTCGAAGCTAGCGAGTGGCCACGTTTCTCGTCTGTGGTCTCCCCTCTTGGGTCCAGTGCCAAACTTCGGGCCTCCGATGTATTTGAAGGCCGTGTTGAACACTAGAGATCCCGTATCCATGAAGTATGCAATCGGCATACATGCGAGAGGGATACTGTCCTTGATCGCATAGTACCCTCTCGGATGGAATGCAATCGGATTGATACCTGCTGCAATCATGTGCAAATCAATCGCGAACACAATCATGCGGTTGGATCCCATACCTTCGGGGAGCATGCTTTGTGATGACGCGGTGTTCGAGAGCGTCTCACGTCCCGGGTTCATTCGGACGTTCATGTACACCTCTTCCCACTCGTTGTTCTTCCCAGATCCAGGGGCATACGGGAGCAGTGTGAGGAAGAGCTGCCCCTTTGGGGGGTTGAGCTTGCAATCGTTCATGTATCCGAAGAACTCGCGAATCGTTGCGCATCCCCATCCGTACTGGGGATGATATCGGGCCACATTTCGTCTCCTCTCGCCATTGACATAATGTTCTTGAGCGAGCTGAGTGAATGGCCCGTGCTGACACTTGATCAGCAATCGGAATCGGTTGAAGTTATCGGGACCGAAACCATAGGTTGCTCGGACGCCAACAAATTGAGGACTTCCATCGTCGTTGATCGTCGAGTAGAAGAACTCAAACATTCGGTTGTTGTCCGTTCGAGCAATTTCCGTAATGCACTGGACGGTGAGCTCACTCGGCTTATCGTCATCGTCCAGAATGCTAGTCTGGAGAAGCGTCCGGCCGCTGAACTCGCCAGCGTTGGCCTTCATGTATTCCCTCTCGCGTTCCATGTACATCGGAATGACATCGAAAGCGATGATGCCACTCTGGTCGAGGAATGAATACAATGGGACGCCCCTCTCTTTGTCCTGGGGGCGATTCTGTGCTCCGACGGCAGTCGAGGATGGACGCTCCTTTGTTTGCGTCAGCACTCGGAACAACAGCTTACGCACCAAACTGATCATGCCTGCGTCCGGAATCCTGGCGGCAGGGATATTTTGTGCGTCATCGATGAGCAATCGGCTGCATGACACTGATGTTCCGCCGATAGATCGGTATGTCGCCTCCTTGGCATTGTAGGCTCGGACAGCTTCATGGATCTCGCGGCAGTCCTCATAAGATTCCGGTCGGAGGAAAGAATCGTGTTCTCCTTTAAGCGGTTTCTTGTGAAGCGCCATACCCAAGTACACTGTCTGATTCGAGGACAGCATAGCAAATCGGCGTCTTGAATACTTGCGCTGCTCGTCAGTCGGTGGGAGACAGGTCGCAGAGACCAATCGACCATGGACGGAGTCATCGATGCCCATGTCGAGTCCCGGAACGACGAAATCTGACAGTGCAATCGGGACAGACGTCATTTCGTAC